ACCCTCACCCGTGTCGGTAACATCAAGGATGGTGTCATCCCCGAGGCTCGCCACGACGGTGCCATCAACGTCATCCTCCCTAAGGTCAAGGCCGCCCTCTCCCCCAAGTTCGCCAACTACGTTGAGAAGATGGGTCCCGTTGCTGAGTACATCGCTGCTATCGCTGGTCAGCTTGTTGATGAGAAGGAGACCGAGTCCATGATCTGGGTCGACAACCTCAAGGCCTACGTCTCTGTCATTGCTGGCATTGACAACTCTGAGTCTCTCGTCGAGGCCATCCGCAAGACTGCTCTCCCCGGTGCCGTCGCCGAGGCTGAGGCCGAGGAGGATGAGGAGGAGGGTGAGGATCTTTGCAACTGTACCTTCTCTCTTGCCTACGGTGCCAAGATTCTTCTCAACCAGACTCATCTCCGTCTCAAGCGTGGTCAGCGTTATGGTCTTTGCGGTCCCAATGGTTCCGGAAAGTCCACTCTCATGCGCGCCATCAACAACGAGCAGGTTGAGGGTTTCCCTAAGCAGAGCGAGGTCAAGACTGTCTTCGTCGAGCACGACCTTGACTCCGCTGATACTGAGATGACCACCATTGATTGGACTATGAAGAAGCTTGAGGAGGCTGGTGTCACCACCACCCAGGCTGATGTCGAGAAGCAGCTCAACGAGTTCGGCTTCACTGAGCAGATGATCAAGGGTGAGATCAGCGCCCTTTCTGGTGGTTGGAAGATGAAGCTCGCTCTGTGCCGTGCCGTCTTCGAGGCTCCCGATATTCTGCTTCTTGACGAGCCTACCAACCATTTGGATGTGAAGAACGTTAAGTGGCTCGAGGAGTACCTCATCAACTCTCCTTGCACTTCCATCATCGTCTCTCACGACTCTGGCTTCCTCGACAACGTCTGCCAGCACATCGTCCACTACGAGCGCTTCAAGCTCAAGCGCTACAAGGGCAACCTGGCTGCCTTCGTCGCCCGCAACCCCTCTGCCAAGTCGTACTACGAGCTTGGTGAATCCGAGATGGAGTTCACTTTCCCTGAGCCCGGTTTCCTCGAGGGTGTCAAGACCAAGGCCAAGGCCATTCTCCGTGCCACCAACATGTCCTTCCAGTACCCTGGTACCTCCAAGCCTCAGATTCAGGACATCTCCTTCCAGTGCTCTCTGGGCTCCCGTATTGCCGTCATCGGTCCCAACGGTGCTGGCAAGTCTACTCTGATCAACGTGCTCACTGGTGAGCTCATCCCCACTCAGGGTGAGATCTACCAGCACGAGAACATCCGTATCGCCTACATTAAGCAGCACGCTTTCGCTCACATCGATAACCACCTTGACAAGACTCCTTCCGAGTACATTCAATGGCGATTCCAGACTGGTGAGGATCGTGAGACCATGGACCGTGCCAACAAGGTCATCACCGAGGCCGATGAGAAGGCCATGGACAAGATCTTCCGCATTGAGGGCTCTCAGCGTCGTGTCATCGGCATCAACAGCCGAAGAAAGTTCAAGAACTCTTACGAGTACGAGTGTTCGTTCGCTCTTGGTGAGAACGTTGGCATGAAGAACGAGCGATGGACTCCCATGATGTCTGCTGACAACGCCTGGTTGCCCCGAAACGAGCTTCTGGCTTCTCACCAGAAGATGGTTGCTGATGTCGATATGAAGGAGGCTCTTGCCTCTGGTCAGTTCCGACCTCTGGTCCGAAAGGAGATCGAGTCTCACTGCGCCAACTTTGGTCTCGATGCCGAGCTTGTTTCTCACTCTCGCATGCGTGGTCTGTCTGGTGGTCAGCGTGTCAAGACTGTCCTTGCCGCTTGCTCTTGGCAGCGACCTCATCTTATCGTCCTTGACGAGCCTACCAACTATCTCGATCGTGACTCTCTCGGTGCCCTGTCCAAGGCCCTGAAGAAGTTCGAGGGTGGTGTCATCATCATTACTCACTCTGCCGAGTTCACCAAGGACTTGACTGAGGAAGTCTGGGCTGTCATGGACGGCAAGATGACACCTTCCGGTCACAACTGGGTTCAGGGCCAGGGTTCTGGTCCTCGTCTCAAGGCTGACGACGGTGATGAGGAGGAGAAGTTCGATGCTATGGGTAACAAGATTGTCACCACCAAGAAGAAGGTCAAGCTGAGCTCTTCTGAGGCACGAAAGAAGAAGAAGGAGCGTATGGCCCGCCGAAAGCGTGGTGAGGAGGTGTTCAGTGACGAGGATGATCTGTAAACGCATATATCCCGCGACGCCTTTACTCTACCATGTCCTGTGACGACTTCTCTTGATGATTACATACCATTTTCCTTTGTCATGCGTTGATCAAAAAAAGTTCCGGGTGCGTCTTTGGTAATGGATGACTGCACTTTTGGCTTCCCGATAGATGGAAAGCTTTGTTAGACTACCGCCATGGAGGAACGAGGAAATAGCACGGGGGATTGGAGGATCCCAACTGTGTTGAGCCCTCGACTTGGTGGGTTGGAGATTGGCAACTAGTTAGAGCCAAATAGACTTGATTACGATCAATCTGTGTTTTGACCAAATGTGAACGCTGTTGCGAACTGTGATGAGTGATGAATATGTGCATGGTGTTGATCAAACGTCGTAATGTATCCATGATTCAAATATATCGATGAGTGTGAATATTGCAAGTTGACATAAACATAAACATCATTATCTATCTTAAAAGCCCTTCAACTTACTGTGTGGTATGCACATGTGATGGTGCGCTGTGTTGGCAGTCTATCCTTTCGGTAAAAAAGCAGCAAACCGCGTCTTTACAATAGGGTAGGCAATTCCTTCCAGGTGATGGAAGATGAACAAAAATGAAGCGACAAACGGTTTAGTGTGCACAGATGCAGAAGCTGACGAGAAATCCAAAAAGAAATATCTGATGAGACTGGGACTCGAACCCAGGAGGATTGCTCCACCAGGAAATTGGTGTTAAGGTTAACCTTAACCTGGCGCCATAACCAACTCGGCCATCTCACCGAATCTGCTTGATATGGGTGGTTGCAGTAAATTTGCTTAGGTCGCCTAGTGTTTGGCGACAGTGATACTGTATACCGATCTGCCATGCCATGTTGATAGTTCGAAGCTCTCAACCAGGGACCTCGGAGGCCTTGATCCAGTACGGAGCGTGATTTGGGTTCAAGCATAACTCTTCTTGACCCTGGTATGTCTCCAAAATGCTGAACCAAGAGTTTGTTCTCGTAGTTATCACAGTACACATTTTCAAGAAACAGCAGCAATGCGCAATAACGCGCTTTCACGTAGACTGTCCAAACCCTACTCTACATATGTGAGTTGAAGTACAATTTTATACCTAGCATATAGCATCGGGATCAAATAGATACGAGATGTAGTTACTAGGCAGTAGCACTGTGCACCATAGAGACAAAAACTCGGCAAGCTCAGCACCAGCAAATTCCTTGTGTGATAAACCTCACCGTACGTTTTCAAGTGTATTATCAAAGCACAGACTATATCGCTCCCCTTGTAACCGTAACTCGGTCTTCAGACTCTCTACGTCCAGTTTCTTAGCATCGTACATTTTGTCCTCCATGCCAAACTCCAGGTTCACCATGTGGTCCCAACGTCAAATACTCCTCCCCTCCATCAGCACTTACATATAAATTCACTCCCTTGGAGGTACAAAGCATCGTATAAGTACAACCTCTATCTCCTGCCCTTCTTGGCCATTTCTATCAACATACGATTAAACTTTCAGCTCCCGGTCAAGCCATCCCGAACCCCCGGCGCCGAAAGACCCACTGCTGCCGTGTCTCCCGGCCCGTCCATCTCCAACCAACGTTCAGCTACGTCAACTTGATACCCCACGATTCGAAGGCTTGAGCATGCATGTATGCATTCGACCCTAGCACTATACTTTCAGACGGTGCCTCCGCGGCCAAATGGAGATAGCTTAAAGAAACCGATCCCTACATACCAAGAGCCCCTAAAAGGCCCTGCAAAACACCAAAACAGATATCCAACTCCGTCTGCACTGTTTCCAGCACCGTAATAGAAGGACGGTTTCACGGCTTCACACTCCGTGCCTTGTCCGTTACTATCAGTACTTAAGAATCCATGCCACTGACAGCTGCTTAACTTATCAACCCCAAAAACCTTATCATGCCCATCCCTGCTTATCAACACCCATACCAAACTATAGTACGGATACAGTAAAACACTGAGTACTCCAACCTGGGCTTCCCTCACGCCCCCTTCTAGAAACTCCCCGATTTTGGTCAACACTCCCCCCCTCCTCCTCCCCCTTCCCCGTCACCTTTGCCCCCTTTGTGCATCGGCCTCGTGCGCGATCTACATGGGCGGCTCCCCCGCCTTCTGAGCCACAAGCTAAGGAATCCTTAAAGAGACCTAGCAACTTTACGAAACACTCAATGAACAGGCAGGGGAGACGCATTTGAGATGCTTTGTATTGCCGATCTCGTGATCGGCAGTTGAAGTCTATTGGCCGTTCCCTGTAGAGACTGCCAACCTTGATGCGCAGGATCGAACATATCACGGCGGCGCAGCATCATTAAGCTCTGTGGTCTTTACGTCACCAGTTTTGAGTCGCCATCATTCAGACACAATGTTGTAGACTAGAGAGATAGGCGAGATATTCAGTTCAATAAGCCCTATCAATACACTCCGTACCACTCGACCAGATAGATCCAGACGAGATAGCAATGAATTTTGGAGCAAGGTAACTCTAGGCTAGACCTGCCCTCACGGTTCGGAGCAAATAAAGTCCCTGGCTCCTATTTTCCGTAGCTAAACTTACCAAGATAGGGATGGTGCCCTTAACGACAAGTCTCGTGGGATTATGCATCTTTTTTTAGTCAGTCTGGCATGAGATTGGGACAACGAATGAATCCAGAAGAAAACATAGCTATGCCTTGGGTATATTTTCAACAAACTACATAATATGTACAGAAAAATCTCATGTTCTATGAACTCGTAGATTGCACCGGCAGTCGTCTCTTATTCATTTCGCATAAAGTAAACAGTGGGAACCTCTATTCATCCGAATACACCTTGCCCTTAATGCCAACGAGCATTCCCATCTCCTGCCAGAAGCCAGTTGGGGGCGTTGTGATGGAGTTCTCGTAAGCATCAATGATAGGGCGCTCCCAGGTAAGGTCGACCTCATGGGGACGGAGCCAGCGAGTCTTCTTGTAGAGCTTCCAGAAGATAAAGAGACAAGGGGCGACGATTTGCATGGTGTAGTTCTTGAAGAAGCTCTCGACATCCCAGGGCTTGAATGACTTGTAGCCGTAGCACATAACGACGAGGAACTGGAAGACCAGGCCAATGATGGCGCACCAGGGCTGGAAGCGGCCGTAGTACGGCATCTTGCTTCGGTCAATTCCTTGAGCCTTGCAGGCGCGGTAGTAGTTGAGAAAGGTGAGTCCCATGACAAGGTAGTTGATAAGACCACCGGCTGTCATTAGGGCAATGAGCCAGTTGAGAACCTCAGCTGAGCCACTGCTGCACTGGAGGAACGAGAGCATGGGGAACAGCATGACGACGCAGAAGCACCAGATGGGAACACCGGAGGCGGTTGTCTTTCGCAGGAATCGGGGAGCGCGACCCTCAAGAGCAAGACCATACAGAGATCGAGTGGCACAGTAGGTATAGGTGTTACCGGCCGAGAAGATAGATGTAAGGAGGAGCGCATTGACAATGTGAGGAAGCACGTCGACCTTCAGAATGTCCATGGCCATGACATAGGGTGAGGCAGCAGCAGTGCCGCTTCCCTCCTCGCCAGTAACGAAAATCTTGACGAGCTGAGGATAATTGTAGGGGACGACGATACCAACAGCGAGGGAGCCCATGATGAAGAAAAAGCAGAATCGGTAGTAAACCGTCTTGAAGGCAGCCTTGATGTAGACACTGGGTCGCTTGGCCTCGGCAGCGACCATCGAGATGTATTCGGGACCGACAACAGTAAAGCTGGCACTCCAGAGAGCGCCGAGGAAGCCCTCGAAGCGACCAAGGGGAGTGTTACCATTGACATCCGAGAAAGCACCAGGGTTCTTCCAGTAGCGGAATCCATAGGCATCACCTTGAGGGTTGCCGCCAACCATTGTGACGAAAGTGAAACTGAAGAGCATAAGAATCAGGATAACCTTGCCGCCCGAAAGCCAAAATTCGGCTTCACCGTAGGCCTTGACAGCCAAGATGTTCAAAAGACTAAAATACGCAAAGAGCCGTTAGCGTGTGAACTGTATTCGGAGAGCAGAGACGAGTAAATATTTTTCACATTCGCGCCCAGCTGAGCCAAAGGAATCAAGCAAACGGGTATGGCATTAACATGCGAAACCGTGGAGAAAAACCACAATCATCTCAAGGGCCTTGTACTTACGCGTATAGTATGATGACACCAATACAGATGCCAGCTGTAGGGCCGGGGTTCGTGATATCAGAGCTCCAGTATGAAAGGACAAGGTTGATGGCGGTGATTTCGAATGGAATCAGAAGACCTTCGTAGAGGAAGAAGTTCCAACCAGCCATGAAACCAAGAGCGTCATCGGCCCAATGACCGGCGAGACGGATAAAGCCACCAGAAACGGGCATGTATGTGCTCATCTCGGCGACACCATTGTTCACACATGCGAGGATACCGGAGTAGATTGTATAGGCGAGGAACAAACCGAGGGGACCACCCTGGGCAAGACCACCACCGATACTCACGAAGAGAGCAGTACCAATGGAGCCACCAATGGCAACGAGCTGGATCTGTCTGTTGTTGAGGAGACGGTGCAGACCATCAGCGTTGTCCATAGTGTGGCCGGCCGCAACGTCGCCGTTGTCGGCCAGGTACTTGTCGGTAGAGCCAGCATTGCTGATGTAGTTATTGGAGTTCTTCTCCTCGTCGGAAGCCATCTTGAGAGATGTCACCTTGGCAAGCTTGGTTGGTTCCGGTCTATCGATAGATTCTTGCGAACAAGGTCGAAGGAAGGAAAGCTCAATCGAGCAAGAGTCTGCGAAGCAATGAAGCAAGCAGACAAAGGTGAATTGAATATACCGTGTGAAACACTGGTATAGAAAAGTGTTGAAAGTGAAAAAACCACGAGGTGAGAGGGGAGGGAAAAGGTGTACCTTGGAGGAGCGGGCTTTGAAGTTAATAAGTAAAATAAATCTGACATGGGGGGGGAAGAGAGCTTCGATTGACCCCAACCCATCGGCCCTTGCCCTCTTCTTACTGCGTTCAATGCAGGTAAATCCTGGGGCGTTCCGCTGAACTCGAGTTAGGTCGAGTCGAGTCGAACTGTTGGAGGCCAAGCAAGGCAAGCAAGCATGTATTGACTGCAGCGGGATGATGGCGGCCAGTCCGAACCAGGATTAGCTGAAGGAGGAGTGGAGAAACAAAGCCAAGCCCATTTCTCGAGGCCAACTGCTTCTGGCTACCTCGCTTCCAAGTATTTGCACCCTTGCGTGAGGCATATTGAGTACCTCGGTCAGATGTAACAGACTTGATGACAAGGGCTATTCCTACTTTACGCCCGGTCGAGCCAACCAACCACCAATCCCGGCTCAATGCCAGAGTGTAGTTTCGGATTTTTGTTGCTTTTACCTTAGAGAAACTGCGCTGAATTGCTTGTACTGCGCAGTTTTCTCAGAGCAGAATGCATACACACAAATGTACTGAATTTCGATGCGGCCACAGAGTCGACATGGTATGGATCAGGCTGCGCGATGTATCGTATTCGGCGTCCCCTCTGCTGACCATTTATATGTGCGTGCGGTGGTAGGACCCAAAGGAATGGTTCATCTACACGGTTTGGCCTATGTAGCGAACCACGAGGCTCTGGTGTTCCGTACATCACTCGCTGAGGGCTCACACACTCTCTCTCCTCTGATCAGTCTCTCATCTTTCCACAGAGACGTTTCAGCTCTCTCCACTTCGTGACACCATGGCATAGAAGCACTGCCCTCCCTTCATTCGCAGCTATCCTGCTGCTCGTGCTTCTTGGTTCATCGTTCATCCTAGTACAGTTCCACTTCCAAACATGCAATCCAGGGCAAAGGGTGATATATTTCATGACGATGTTGGTCAGAGTCCAAACTTTGTGTGGTTAGACTCGACTCGACTCTTGTCGGGTCATTTTGCGTCTTTGGATATTTCCTTGGCATGTATGTACTGCTCAAGGCCGTAGTACTTGGCGCTTCTCCACTTGCATGTACAGTATGTACTGTACCTCGTACACACACTGGACGCATCCATGCATCCTTGTCAGGATGCTTCCCCGACTGTGGACCACTGCTGATAAGGGTGGTTTTTGCCGATTGACGTTGGACCCTAGGTCTTGGGATATATGTATGTATGCTGATCACCAGAAGTACCATAGTAAGCCATCCTCTACAAATGCTGGTGCCTGTGCCTACTTGGCGGATTTAGTGTTACTCTTGGAAAGGGGTCTTTGCCTGGGCAATCCGAGAATTGCCCGGCTTTTGAATCATATCAAATGTCTTGAACCTGTTCGGAGACTCCACGGAAGTCGGGGATCTGGAGGCTCTGGCTGGAGCCAATTCCGCCAGAGGGGTAGCCTCCACTGAAAAAGCAGTGTGGAGCTTCTCCAACAACTCGCCTCAGTGGGTGCCCTCCACTGAAGCGGATGGATGGAGCTATCTTACAGTGGCCAGTGCCCTATAAAGTCTCCTCTAAAGATAAGCTCGTCGTTAGTTTATGGCCAACCAGACCGAGCAGAGGCATGTTGATGCGTGGAAATTGGTAGCCAAGTCAACGACTGCGCAATTTTCTCTCAGCACGGACCGAAAGGACATGTAGAGTTCAGATATGATTGTCTTGCATAAATCCGCAAGCTCTGATATGATTTTGTGATAATTCTTGTTATTGAAGAGACTGTTGTCTTGCTCACGTGCTACTCCAACCAAAGCAAAGGAATAGGTAGGTAGGTAATGTCCGTAGTGGTCCCTGACGTCATCATGGTCAGGCTGAATGAAGGTCGATTGCACCTGCCAAATTGGGCCACAGCTGTTGCTAGCGAGTCCTCCACCTTACGCGGTGCCTCTTTACAGAGGGGTTGAACCTCACCACTATAACTTACAGACAGAACAGTCAGACAGGCTACCCAAGACCTTCACTACCTAGGTAGTCAGCACCCAGTCCCGGGCTCGCTATGCTTGCCTCATGTCATCAATCTTTCAGGCATGGAATTTGATCGACAGAAGAGGCATCAACATCTATTGGACCCCAGATCAATGACGGAGTCGCTTGTGCATCCGAGATCAGCAAACTACCCTAAAACGAGTCCCAGTTGCGTGGAATCTGGGGTTTTAGCATCCCCTCGAGACCCTCAAGACCCTCAAGCTCGGCAATTCTTTCTGACACTTCACTTCATCAAGTCCGTAATCACGATGAATGGCCTTGAAGAAACCGGAGTCACGGGTGGTCATTACATAAAAACCTACTTTGAACGTCGTCTGATTTCGCCGCTCTCTCACCAACTCGCTTCCCACCATCAGCTTGACCCCAACGCACGCCACAAACTTGGCGGTTGTAGCACACGTCAACATTGGATGTCTCATGTTGATATCGGATACTCGAGAGAGGTTCACCGGTCACGTGTCGATCATTTAGCCTGCGTTGAGGAGCGGAATGGGCGACGCACCTAAGAGCGCCCAGACATTGAGATGTAACCCCAAGTAACTCGGAGCAGTTGTCTCACCATCTTTCTTTGCAAATTGTTGTCGAGGCAAATAACCTAGTCACAGGAGTCTTGGACAAGTGATACTCAAGGACACACATCGACTCGAAGAACTGAGAAAGCTTGTCTGGACGGGAGTGCACTTGGCTATGCTCCAACGAATATCATGCCCAGTCTGGTTTGAACCCTTTTACTGACAAACCGTATAATACAAAATTCTTGATATCCCCGAACCCTATTTGGAACAAGGGGAAACATGCATGCTGCGCTGCAACATCATGATGGTAGAACCTGCAGCATAGCATGCTGAACGGTATCGCCCCTGTCGCGTGGGGAAGAGGTCATAGTGCAGTTGAAGGACGTGTTGCCCTGGGTGTTCCGTACCCTCAACCGAGCTGAAGGTGAGTTGGGTCGGACCCTTGGTCTTCACGACTCGGGCCTGACAGTATAGGTTGGTTTTACGGGCCGAGACATGTAACATATGCATTTCCGTGAACTGCGTCTGGCGCGCCTGGCGCCAATTTCTCACTCGCTGAGACTATACTCCGAAGTTTGTCGCACAGCTCTCGCCCTGTAGCGCAGTATTTGTGCGCCCGGTTTGCATTGACTAGCAGACTAGGTCCATCTCGATCGTTACCATCGTTTACGGAATAAGTCCAGTGCGTTTGTCTTACAACTGTCCAATGAACCGTCCCAAACGTTCAATAGCTCAATGTACCGGCTAGGACTTACGCCAGTCTCCACTGCTTGATTCCATCGCCTGGCTGCATCTCAGAGTTGGTGGAAGGCTGTGTCTGTTAATTCTTGGCATCGAATTACGACTGGCGGTGGTTTCTGGCTGCCTTGGCATACACGGACTTGGCCGCTTGTTGTCCGCCGTACAAAGTGCGTTATTTGGATGCTCTGACTGCCTGACAGAGTGCCACGGTCAGACTCACGCTTGGTGACGCATTTGCGGCTCCTTCACTCATGGCTTAACCGTTGTACGTCAGGCGCCTAACCATAGTGGCGCTGATGGAAACGCAAATCTCTCCGTGTTGAGGAAGCAATAAGCTTTTTCTCCAAATCTTGAGAGGTGCAATACAAACCAAAAGGCCTCTCATAGGCTTCGGTATTACGCCGAACCTCGCGCTATGCGACGCAGAGACAAGTGTGCACCCACTTTGACCGTACTCGTCGAACCTTGGTGGACGCTGGACGTTTTCCGTACACAGTTGCGTTGTTTAGTTTCGATTGGTACGGTTTTTGACTAACAGACCCCCGTTCTAAACGTCTTGGAGGGAGGCGCATGGCTTTCCCCAACTCTGTCTAGCTGCGGTCTAATTGCATCGATAGGGTCTAGATCAGGGACTGAAAAGTGGAATGGCTCATGGAAACGGACAAGGAGCCCTGTCGGCTGCAACGGGCCCTGACGTTCCTTATTAAACGTTGGTAGCGAAACGAGAAGACGCTTGGCTGTATAAGACGTGGTTCGACCAGAAACCTGGTAAGCCTGTTGAAGCTACTGAGCATGTCGGACGACGGTTGATGAGGGTATCCATAAGATTCAGAAAACATCGTATCGGTTCTTGACGCTCTCTATCGGTTCGGTTGAGCCGTTGAGTGAAATTTCTTCATTTGTTGAACAAGATGATGCCAGATGAGACAGGCCAAGAAAAGAAGTAATCTCTAGAACTCGGAGACCATGGCATGTTTGAGCCAAGCTGCCAATCTTTCGATAGCCGTGCCATACATCCTCAAAGATCAAGGCTATATGTGCCACCACCACACGATACGTAAGCTTTTTACGAAGAGATTTAGCTTAGGCCAAGAGAGGCGTTGCTCTCCAAGTTTTTGAGGTTTCCAAGACGGATGAATCTTCTTGGCCTGATTCTCCAAGGCTCAATTCAGTCTCGGGAGCAAATCGATACATCTATATATCTGTGCTTGTTTTTGACGAAATATAAAAAACCTACACGTCGATCAAGACACAATATAGGACTACTATCAAATAGCACACTACTAATCAGAACAATAATGCTATACTATGTAAATATATACCTGTCAGAGATGCAGCCATAGAAGACCATTTCGATTTGGGGCCGTTGACACTTCGGCCGGGACGGAGACTTTTTGGTGGGGGGAAAACTCCGTTGTTCTCGGTGGCCGGCCGATGAGGGGCAGCGAGCGGTGCGGAGAAGTGAGAAAAAAAAAACCACAAAAAAAAAACTACGG